TAGTGCTGTATCACTTGTAAAGCTTTTCGCCTGTTCCTCCTGCTCCTTTCTAGTTTGCCATCTCTACCTTTTCCTCTGCTAAGCTGCTGCCCTGCACAATAATAATGTCCCAAGCTGAAAGCAGGACGGAGTCACTCTCTGTCCCAGCCCAGGGACTCGGCAGCACCACGCTGCTCTCCATGAGGGCACTGCGCTGCTGCTCGAACACCCGCCTCCACAGCTCAGCTTTGTGCAGGTGGGATTTTAAGTCTAAATACTTGATTATGATACAGCACATCTATGTGTATTAAAAAGGCATTGTGAAATCATGGAAGCAGCCGCTTGCAGTGTGGTTCTCAATTAATAGATATAACAAATTAGCTTCATTTCTAAGTTTTTCATCCTTACCCTTCACTCTTTCCTTCTGTCTCCCTGTCTCTAACAACACTTCTACAAACCCGAGCTTCAGAGAAACAAGAACAGTAACCAGCGAGCAGAGCAGCATTTGACTTCGTTTCCCAAAATATAGCATTATGGAATCAGATTACTTTTTGAGTGCAAAATATGTAGCAGCACCTATTTGTCCTTAGTCTTGGAGTAGGAACATTGTATCTCAGCACTCAGAATCTCAAACCTCCAAGCTAAATATTGAAAGGTGAAAACATTTGGATACTAAAGCAACAGTTCCCAGTGGGCCTTAAAACGCAGGCAAAGTAATTGAACACCGATATCTAAGGCAAATGTACCCCGAAACAATGTAAGTATAGAATCTACATCAGGAACAGCACACAAAGCAAATTGCTACATTCAGAGAAAATGTAGCAACGAAAGGAAAGGGATTTAATTTTACTTCGCGCGCACTTCAAATCCTTCTTACAAGGATGAATTGGTTTAAACCAGTCTGAGTACCTATGAGATTTATACCCGTGCACACGGTAGATCAATATTACATCACAAAACCCTCAGCATTGCTTGGGTACTACCAGAACCTCCAGGTAAACAGCATTTTTAACTTTTAAAGTATTCGTGTATGTGATTGAGAGCTGCTGCACAGGGACAAAGAACCAGTTCCTTTTCCTGGTAGGGAAAAGGCTCAGCTCTAAGTAAACACTGAACAATGATCCGTTGCCCCTGTCGGCATCACAGATGCTTGGCCTGAATCAAACACGTGAAGACGAGCCATCACTGTGCATGCAGCTTTGTATGCCTGCCTGACCCAATGTCAAACCCATTCCCTCACCCTGCTTAAGGCCCGAGGCCAGAATTCCGATCCTTTCTGGTGATCTAAAGTAACATTCTGTGTGTGTGCTCCATTCATCGGAGCGCGCTCAGCACTGCTGGTGATGTGACCTACTTTCCCCAGTGCCGTCAGTGTGCCTGCTGCATGCCGGACGGCTTTGTGGCCAGCAATGTGCGGAGGGCTCTGATCAGCAGCGGCTTCATTTAAAAGAAATTCATCTGGCTGGCTTGGGGCCTTCCTTTTCTTCCTATTGTCTTAGAATTGCTTCCTCCCACTAGCTCTGAACCTATTGCTTCTGAAAGAGCCCCTATCCGTGCCCTTGTCTGACCCACCTGTGAGGTGACCCCAGGCCATTTCACAGAGAAACAGCTAATTATAAATAGAATTAAAAGACAAAAGCTTCAAAATAAAAATACCCCACCCAGAGTGCACAGGGAGCTGGTATATTTGGAGCGGGTATTTTAAATATTCATGTTCAAGATTCTCACAGGTTATGATTAATGTCTGAAGAAACTACTTTTGGGTTTCTGGGCAGCAGAAAAATCAAACTTATCAGAAGTCATGATTTGTCATGAACTTAGCTTCCTAATTACTTCCACAGGGAAAGAAAAACCCATAAAATAGAATTATGCCTTGCTACCTTCTTGTGTAGCGAGCCACAGGGTCAGGAAATAATTGTAATTAGGAAACCTCTCACCCAACAATTCAATAGGTAACAGTGAATAAAAATATTTTAATAATCATATTTAATTCAGATTCCCAAGCAAGCCAGAGATATAACATGGATACCCCAGTTCAGTCAAACTCTGAAATACACACTCTTAAGTTTGAAAAGTATAACTGCAGGTGACACTAATTTAAAAACCAAACAATAAAAGCAGTTCTGCCCTCCCCTCAACTCCTACCTTGCTCCTCCATTCCTGCACCTGTCCCACCTGCCAGCAGTGCTGTGGAGCAGCCATGTAGTGTCCCAGTCAGGGAACACGTTGGGCTGGGTCACTGAATCACAGCTTCTCACCTAATCTAAGCTTCAGCAAAGGTCTTGACCTTCAAACATTGATTTTAATGTGAAAATGAGAAGCAGGAACTTTTCAGTCCTACTACAATGTTTCTGTGTGCACTGCAAATATATTTAAAATCACTTTGTCTGCCACTGCAATAAGAAGTACAAAAGGTTAGGCTCAAATGCACGTAGTCTACTCACTTGTAATTCCTGCTTGTACTTGAGCAACAACTTAGAGCCCGTGTGCTGCCTGTGAGCTCGTTTTCCAGGCACTGTGCAGTGACAGCTCTGCAGATGTGCACCTTCTTACCTTGCACGTTCAAATGTATTACAATGTCCAGATCCTGCAGTTCTGTGACTATGTGACAGCCTCGTGTTTCATTTTACAACATAAGTCTGCTGTCCTTGTGACATCAAAGTCATTTTGGAAACGTGACCCTGAAGACTAAAAAAACAAACAGAAAATATACCCCAAAGCATTAATTATCATGAACGCTACTTGCACTTTTTGAAAGCTATGCCTCATGCTTTTGGCACTCCCAGTTTCTGGTGTGAATAGACTGCCCCAAGCCATGGAGACAAAGTCTGAGTAGATGTTAATTGATCTGCAGAAAGAGATCCTTAACAAATTAAGGATTTGAGCCAAAGTAAGAGCCAAAAGGAAATGGTGTTAGGTGATGGGTAGGTCATGAGATCTCTCATCACATAGAACAGCCAGTTGCATACCTTAGTGATTCCAGCCCACTTACAAGCTTCTCTTCACCTTATTGCTTACAACTTAAAAATCTCTTTAAATTTAAAATCGTAGACGCTACACCTCACAGAGCATTTATCTTTGCTCCTGCACTTCAAGCTTAACTTCTTTGAAAACGTTCTGAGGCTGACGGCTTTAGCTTATCTGATTTTATTGCTTTTGGGTCTTCCTTATTTCACTGAGCAGTTCTCATAGCTGTCCCATGCTCAGGAATTACCATCCATCCTTTCCCACAGTAATTCATAAATCTCCCCCACTTCTCTCTCAAGTGCCAATTCACACTTAGGATACCTGTGCTACGCCACAGCACTGATGGTCAGCACTCATTGAACTCCACACAGCATTCCCTCTCCCCAGTAACGTCAGCAAACTTCACCAAGCAGAACAGATCACTGCAAATGAACGCTGCTTCCCAGAACACAGACCACCTCCTTAAACGTGTGAGCATGAAATGTCATGGCTCATCTGCTTAGTTTTCGTTGGGATTTAGGCCTTCCTATCTGGTTCAGTTTATGTACATCCAAGCTAAGATCACGTGCACCTTTCTTGAAGATCAGTTGATACAGAGCGCTGTGTGACCACACACATTACTAGCGCAGCCCAGGGGCTTTTCAAGTTGAATCCCTGTAGTTCACTGGAAAACACTAAGGAAAATAATTGTATCTTCCACACTGATCTCCATGAAGGTACGAAGCCTGCAAAGATGATTCCATTTGTGCCCATAACTGGCTGACGGACTGGGAACGGGATGAAAGAGGAGAAAACCACTGTAAGAGTAAATGCATGCCATACAGGGAGGTAAGAAAACACGGCCAGTTGGGGCACTAAATAAATAATCTGAGTACTTTCTTTTTCCTGAATACGTGGGCTTAAAATGCAATATCTGAATTATTTTCTATTTCAACAATTTCAAGCTATACCTATAGCTACCACCAGATTTCTCAAATATATAGTTTCCAAAGCATTTTATGTAGATCTCTCACTAAATAAACACACTTCTAATTAATCACTATTCATACCACTTGTGAAACAGAAGATGTTCCAGCAGAACTGATACATTAACCACAGCAGAGGTCAGAAAATAAAAGATAAAGGAACCTGGATCATGTAACAGAAAGAGGCAAAGAATTTATCTTATAAGACTTCTCACATGGCGTAGAGCTTTACACACCTCTGCCTTTTTACACTGAGAAGCAGGTTCCCAGGTCATTAAGGAACTTCCAAGGTTTTCTTTCTTATTAGGCATCCTTGCCCTCCTCTCTATCTGATGTTGTCACATTTGAGTCCTCCATACTTCAAGTCCCTAAGTCCTTGCAGTCTTCTAATTGTCTCCCTTTTACTCTCCATAGACCTACCATAATTCTGCTGTTCTCCTTTGTGTCTGCCAATTGCTAGACACAGCTAGCTTTTTTCTCTTCAAATCTGTTAGTCAAAAAGCAGCACTGAGAAGCCTTCTGGGAGCCCATCCCGACTTTCTGGTGGTTGGGATAACTGATTTTATGAAGAAAAGTGTATAAAATGAGAAATTAAAAGACTTATGGGACCAAAGTTGCCTGGAACCTGATTCACAGGCCTTCAAGAGTCAGGGGGGATTTCTCTCAAGTGACTCAAGTATGTCTAGGATCAAGGCTAGATTATACAGCTCAAAACCACAACACTTATTGGAATATTATTAACAGTTAAACTTCACTGAGTCTATAAATCCAGTCCAAACTAAAGAAGTGAACAGAACTTAAGTGCAGTTCTTAGGGACTGGTAGCACATCTTGCACAGATCCCAAATGGATTGTTTTGAAATCTGTACAAATTCGTGTACATCCAGAAGTTTGTTCAGCGACTGATGTAAGTCACAGTCCAGGATTTGTGTCTGCTCTGCAGTGACACTGATCAGCAGGGCCAGGAAGATGGCCAAAAACCAAATGGGCTGTGGAAACTCGCAGCTTAGCCTTGCAGATATGCTAAATCATCAGTAGGTCCAGATGAAATGAAAGCAAAATGATAATTGCCATAAACAATCTTCAGTCCCTGTTTAAACTGTTCCTAGTCCAGAGGTAGAAGGTTCAAACTTAAACCCCCATGTAAATATTTCTTAAAGAAAATATACCATCGGCTGGGAGAAAAGCCACGCAGCAAATCCAGAGGTCTTATCACTGGAAGGCAGATGCAGCTATTCCTAAACTAAGCAGAACCACACCCAACACTGCCCATGTTTTTTACCAAAAATGGGCCCGCATGGTAAGTATGAATAAATATTTATTTTCTTCAGAGCAATTACAACAACATATTTCCCGTATGAAAATGAAATTACACGCAAACACTGGAGTCACTTGCTTTGCACTCAACTCCTGGAAAGGAACGTTACGGCCGTCTGGAAGGCCCCAAAGGTTCTCCCACGTCAGGGCACTGTGGGCAGATGCTTCCATCTGATGCCCTCAGCAAATGCAGAGAAGCAATCAGCAGTCCTACGCGTGACGTATGCAAGTGTTTGCAAGGACTACTTGGAACAAGTGAGAGTATTAAGAATGTACATGGACTGTAGCCAGTTTTGGCCTGCACATTTTATCATTTTTCTCCCAGCAGAGTGCTTCCCAAGTGATGTTAATGCACAGACCAGAACAGCGGCCAAGAAGCTGAACAATCAGAAGCAATAATTTAAGTACGCTTTTGTTAAATGGGCACATTTTGTTTGCTGCAGCATTCTGGCTATGCTATGATTTTTAAGCAAAGTTTGGAGGAATGTCAAAATTAAATGGCTAATTTAACAAGTATCAGAGCACGAATGTGTGCTACAGAACCTGTGGAACCTAATAGGACGTAGCCATGACTCCTGCATATGGACCTAAGAAAACTCATAACAGCTTTTAAATATTTTCTCACACGACCCAATAAAAGCAGGATCTGTACAGGAGCTGGAAGAAAATGTCTCATGCTGCTTGAAAGTACAGGAATAGCTGGAAAGAAACAGCTAAGATCTGGCTGCCCAAAGGAGAGCAAGGGGAGAACCAGACGCAGCAACTTGTCTGTTTCTGAGCCCGCATCTCTCCCAGTGCACTGACCAACCTTCACAGTCCTCCAGCAACCGCAGCATCCATAGAGCAAGCTGGTGAGATGTAAAAAGCTGTATTACAGACCAGAGCCTTTGGAGCTATTTAGAATGGATTCTCCATTATTTGCACTGGATAGATTTCTAAATCAACTCTGATTAATGTATATCATCTCACCTGCCTTCTGCACAAAACCCAGCCAGGGTTGTTTAGCACGTGAGGAGACAAGGAGACAAGGATACATCTCATAAGGAGAACTTGTGGAAAATATGTGGAGCAGAAGCAGCCGCAGGACTACAGATGCCCAGTCCCCACTTCCATATAATAGATTTAAGTCTATAATCACTAACTGTTGGCACACAGAACGCCTTCCATGCAGAAGTCTCCTGACCATGAAGACAGATCACTGTCTCCAAGATTCACAGATCTTTATATGTGCTGCTGCGACTGGCAAACCAGCTCAGAATGCAGAAATCACAGCACAAAAGGGAATGCCAAGGGAATAGTGAACCAAGGTCACAGGCAAGGACTGCGTGTGATATCACAGCTGAAACATGGCTTCCTTCTGAGAGATCCTCACAAAGCGACTCAGGGACACAGTCGGCAACAAGACCAGCAGCCCAGCTCCCTAGTTCTGTTACAGTCATTAGCAGTCTCTTCTCCTTAAATCCTAAGGCTTCTGCTCCTGTCATCACTCCCACCCCCAACTCCATTTTTAGCATTACTTGGGAAGTATCTCAAGTTCCTTCCAGAAACAGGAAAAACCAAACTTCAACAACAAACACACAGGAGAAATGCAGGCAAGATCAAGTATACATCTTGTCCACTCTGTGGCTGAACATGGCAATTGCTAAGCTTACACTCTTCAGGAAAACTCAAGCTGGGAGGACAGAAGATTGTCACAATGTAAGCCTGGCAAACAAGAAATATTTTTGTTGTTTGGCTGCACAGGTCCTGTGACAGAGGACTAACAAAGCGACACAGCACCAAGAGCAGGCCAAATTCACCTGCAGAGAGTTGCTGCAGCTCACAATTTCTCGAGGCAATAAATAAAGCTCTTTGGAGGCAGGCCGGGGCCCACAGCTGTAAGTCTTCTTTTCATCAAGCCGTTTCTGAGTTATGCCTCCTCTCTTAGCAAGGTTCTGCCTGGTCATGATGTGCACTGCAGCAGGCTGCGACTCCACTGACTGCCTCTAGCTTGCCAATAGAGTCCAGTTTTCAAAACACTCGGTTTGGCACTTTCAGCAATACTCAAACCCAGAGACGTGTCAGAGCGCCCTGACATGCTGCAAGTCGTGCAGCCTCTTGCACACAGCTTTACTCTGTCAGCCCCGGGGTGAAAACAAAGGGCTGGCTGTTCATCACACTGCACTTTGTGTAATCGCTTGCTCTCACAACTGGCAAAGCTCTTCTGCCAGTGGTGGAACTAAATAACATTGCAAAGGGATGAAGTACAGCGCAGAGCTGTACAAGACAGTGGATGACTGCAGACTTTTTCATAATTTTGTACCATTTCTAAAAAAAGTGATGTTTCTCAAATTAATACAACTCGGTTTTAATTCCATTCTTTTTAAAATGTGTTTGATGTATTTTTCCTGTTTTACACACAGATGTATGCAAATGGGACCGACATGTGCCAGAGCATGTGGGGGGAATCATTCAAGGTCAGCAAATCCTCCTGCCTCTGCTTGCAAATGAACAAGAAGGACATGGTGGCAATCAAGCATCTCCTCTCCGAAAGCTCAGAGGAAAGCTCCAGTATCAGCAGCAGTGAGGAGCACTCCTGCCAAAAGAGACTCCTGAAGTTTGAGGCACTGCAGCAAGAAGAAGGGGAAGAGACGAGATGAATTTTGGTGGGTGAACGTCAGGAGGAGAGAAATCATTGTGGAAGTTGGGCTCAGGGCATCACAGCAGCCTGTCTTATCCCTCACTTCTGAGAACTCAATAAATCAATGGTTGGCTATATTAATCCTTCTCTGAGTTTTTCTGCATCTGCATCACAAAGCTCCCAGGCAAGTTAGCACAGGTGTAACCTTGTGACTTGAATCAGAAGCCTGAAGGTAACTTCCAGGCTTGATTTTCAAAGACAAGAAGCACAGGCAGTGGTTGCTGATTTAAGGTGGAACAGTGAGAGACTCTGCAAGGCCACGCCAGTAATGCACCAAACCTTCCACGGATCCTTCATTAGCACAGGTATCATCACTCATGTCACAAGTTCCTGTGTGCCACACTCTGCTCAGATAAGGGAGAAATGTTGCAGGCAGAAATAGGTCAGTAGGTCTGGCTACTGACAACTGAAAATGTACCTATTTTGTATCCCAAAAACATACTTCTATATCAGGGGATTGCGGTGTATTAGATAAATCCCTGGATCCATATATGACCAGTATGCAAAATGCAAAGGCTGCTGCTCTGAGCTTCTACTTTAAACTACAGTAGCACAAAAGTCTCCTACACCATGAATGTGAAGAATAATTGTGAATGCAATGAATCCCTTGGAATGACTACAGACAGAACAATCTCTGCATCAGGGAGGACCCACATGAGGGGTTTCCCCATTGGTATTTCTGCTTTCAGCATCACTGCTACCATCAAAGTAAAACCAAAGTCTGCACCAGTCCCAGAGGAACTCATCAGGTAAAGATTAATCAAATGCTGGTTTTACTTAGGCTTGCATCCTTCCTCCGACATCACTGGAGAGCAGAGAGTTCCATGCCATTCCATACAGCCTTTCACAGTTGTATCACCAGGGCAACCATGAAAGGATTTAATTTTGGGACTCATGTTATCATCAAGTGAAAATCCACATCCTCTCAGTGCTTGCAATGGAGCTCGGCACCTTACAACATGGAAGGATCCGGCCTCCAGCTGAAACAATGACTCAGCACACCCCCTTACACCAGGACAATGTTAAAAATCCATCCCACTCTTCCCTAGCCTGCTTGTTTACTTCAATGGTTTCACACAGCTGCAATAGTAATGCTAGACCCATCAGGTCAGGCTCTGCCTCTCACTATAGCTAACAGTGGCATAATTCCTACCGGTACTGAACTGCTTTTGGAACGATGCCGTCAGGTCTGTACTTCATGGCTACTCAACCTGCTGCTTCTACATTTTGAAAAGAACAGCCAGCCAATTCTTAAAGAAAATGCACTTCTGTGAAGCTCTGCTAGTCTTTTTTCTTTTTTTTTTTTTTCCCCCCCTATTCTTTTTTTTTTGCCATCATTCTTGATTGCAGAGACACCTGAATCAGAGCAGAAAGCTTCCTGCTTTTTATTTTGCTATGCAACATTAATTCACTAATTAATCATTCCCTTTCACTAGCATAACAGCAGCTTATTCTGCACAGCCACTGCCAAACATTTCCTTTATGTTCTTTGCTAAATTTAGCACATTTGTCTCCGCCTGCATCTCTGCTCTATTTTTCCCATCTGCCCTTATTCTCTTTGCTCTAGCTCACCAAATCACCCTAGAAAACATTTTCAACGAAGTTCTTTGATGCTTACTTTCAGAACAAGCCACGAGACTGGTGACACGTGCTCCCGAACAGCACTGGATCCTACAGCAAAACCAAGGGACCAGGACAACTGAAGTGTCTCTGTATTTAATGCCACCAAGATCTTTATCAGAATGTCACAATGGTAGATGAAATGCTGTGTGAAACATGTTGTGAAATGTATTTCTACACTAACCTGTAGGAACCAGACTTACAAACTTCATTAATAAGTTAACTTGGATTTTCCAACAAGATAAATTTGATAAAAATAAAAAAAATGTGCCAGTTATTGACTTATTTACTATATGACTAAGCATCAGCTCTTGTACCATGCTGCCTGGCGCTGATGTCATGTTAACCATAACACAGCTAGCTGGGTCACTCTGCCTGGTCTGCTTATTTAGTTTTCTTTCCTTAAACATTGGCACAGCAGTGTGAGTCTTCCGAAACCCCACTGCACTGCCAGGAGCCATTCCCAACCAGATCTGTGCACTGCCAGGAG